GAATAAAAATACAAGCAAAGTAAATGAAACAATATATTTCGGATTCATGATTGTTATGTTCAAATTTCTATGTGCTAGGAATTTGTTATGTTTATTATTATGATTGTTAAAATTATATTTAACTTTCCGTGTGTCTATATATATTTTTACTGAAGAAAACTTTTCTTGTATTAACCACTTTCGTAATTTCGAATTAATACAGGATATTTGCAATTCAATTGTACGGGTAAATTTTCAACGTTAGTCCTAACGTTCTTACTAACGTTAACACTAATTTCGTACTAACGTTAATACTAACGTTCGTACTAACATTAATACTAACGTTCGTACTAACATTAATAATAAAGTTCGTACTAACGTTAATACTAATGTTCGTACTAACGTTAATACTAATGCTCGTACTAACATTAATACTAACGTTCGTACTAACGTTAAGACTAACGTTCGTACTAACGTTAATACCAGCAGCGTAAAAGAGTAGATCGTTGTTTTTAATTGATTTTCAATATATACGTATTTATTGTACATAGCTGAACAGAATAATTCGAATTCTTTTGGTCATTAAATAACGAAGTTATTTGATGATGATGCAATCATCATCAAAATAACTTGAATTATTCTGGTCGTACGATCATAGTAAGCTGCCGTATAAGTTATCGTTATGTAGATTTTAGTATATTTCAATCAAGACTGCAGATTTGCATCATCTGAATTAGCACGGTTAAATAACGCAAGCAAAAAAAATGAAAAAGGTGATCTATAGTTCCACAAAATTGAAGGTTTTATATAGTTCATATAAGCTCTTGCCCTTTCGAGACCTCATTTACCTGAGCTAAGCAAAAAGTGCATAACACTAACAAAATTCACAAACATATTTATATTATATATGTTTAAAAAAATAAATTGTTTAATATAGAATATAGTTATTAACATATTCCTCTTTTCGGTTTCCCGGCCTAAAAAATTGATAATTACAGTAGAACATGCTTCTTGACCAAAAAACAGTGAATACAATGAAGTTATATTGTATATCATTTTGACCAAAAACAGGAAATACAATGTTTTCGAATCATCAATTTCGAAAAGCGTCGTACGCATGTGATATATTCATTATTATCGCGCTTTTCAACTTACTGTGTCCACTGATTTTCATATATCACACCGGAAATCAGGAATCTAGAATAAATGCAAATCTGTGATTGGTTAAAAATAATTGTTAGCCAATCACGTATTGGCATTATACCTAGATTTCAGATTTCCGG